GGGGAGGGGCAGGACGCCTGGGTTCTATCCCCAGCTCTGGGAGGGAATTGTGCCTAGTGGTTAGAGCAGGAGCCAGGTTCTAGTCCCAGCTCTAGGAGGGGAGCAGGAACCAGGGTTTACAGCAGATAGGGAATGGGGAGCCCTGTGTTCCCTTCCCAGCTCTGGGGGACAGTGTTGTCTGATGGTTAGAGCAGGAGGCTGGGTGGGTTCCTTGGTTCTCTGCCACTGACAGTGTGAGACCTTGGGCAGCTCCCTCCCCCGCTCTGTGCCTCAGTTTCCCCCTCTGGGGAGCAGGGCTAACAACACCAGCCTGGCGGGCTGTGCAGTGACCCTGTCACAATTGCCAGGCACTTTGCCACCCCCAGCGATCGGCGCTAAGGGCCCCGGGAAACCCTCCCGTCCCTTGAAACCAAGGCCCAGAAGGGACAGACGTCACAGCCTGGGCAGCACCACCCCGTGCTGCTGGGACCTCCCAGCCTAGGAGGGGATCCTGCTCCATCTCGGGGCTAAGGGGCGAGGATGGACGGGCTAGGGAGGGACAGGCAGGAAGGGGGCAGCGTGGCTCCCCCAGCTAACGCGCCCCCGTGCCCCCTGCAGAAGTCCTGCCCGTGGGCATCATCGCCGGAGCCACCATCGGGGCCAGCATCCTCCTCATCTTCTTCCTCGTCGCCCTGGTCTGCTTCCTCTACCGGCGCCGCAAAGGAAGTGAGTGCAGGGGAGGAGGGGAATTCCCGGGAACCCCCTTCAACTCAGCCCTGGAGGGCTAGGAGGGAGGAGAACGGCTCCAGACTGCCCCAGCCAGCACCTACCAGCCACTCAAGGGACAGGCAGGGATGGGACCAAGCAGCCGTGTGGTCCACAGGGGCCACGGCTGGATGCGTCCCCCCCACACACACTGCCAGTCTGCGGGCCGATGCCCCCTTCACCCCTGGCCCAGGATGGAGCACGAGGCCCACGAGCAGCTTCGTCCACCGGGGGCGCCCCTTGGAACGGCCGCGCCACCAGCAGGCGACGGGAACGGCCACGGGTCTTTGGTGCCGGGTGCTGGGCGTAGGCAGGTGCCCACGGTGCCAGGAGCAGCTTGAAGGGGGGAAGTCCTGCTACAGGGGGGCGCTTCCTCTGGGCCCATGAGGTCCCTGGCCAAGGCCCCGTCCCAGCAGGGGGGACTGGCGGCTGGGGGGGCTTCCCAGGGAGGAGGCCAGTTTCTCCAGACCAGGGGGAAGGGAGAGTCCAAGGCCCCTGACAGCCAGGGCTCTGGGTTGGGGTCTCCAGCTAGGAGAGGCCGGAGTGCAGCCGGCAGAGCCCCCCGTCCATCCATCCGTCCGTCCGTGTGTCTCACAGGCCGCAAGGACGTGACCCTGCGCAAGCTGGACATCAAGGTGGAGACGGTGAACCGGGAGCCCCTGACGCTGCACACGGACCGCGAGGAGGACACGGCCAGCGTCTCCACGGCAACCCGCGTCATGAAGGCCATCTACTCGGTGAGGTCCCCCCAGCGAGACAGGGCAGGACTCCTGGGTTCTGTGCACACCCGTGGGTCCGAGAGCGTGTGTTAGTGGTTAGAGTGGTGGGGAAGGCGGCTGGGAGCCAGGACTCCTGGGTTCCCTCCCTGGGACTGGGAGTGTGGTCTGGTGATTAGAACAGGGAGGCAGGACTCCTGGGTTCTGGGGCCTCCTGGCTGCACACTTCACAAGAGGGAGACCAGCCTGGCACCCACCAGACAGCCCAGCGCCCTAAGCCTGGTGCCACAGCTCCAGCCATGCCCCATGGAGCCACCCTGGGCTGGAGCTGCTGGGAGCGCCCCCCGAGGGCCGGGGTGGGCAGTGTAACTCAGTGATGCTTTAGCTCTGTGATCCATAGGGGTTGATGAGGCTATGGCTGGCTCTGTCCTTTAGCCCAAGCAGTAGCAACTCAGACTTTAACTTTCAAAGGTCCCAGGTTTGATGCCTGGTGCTGCCGACCCAGGGTACAGGACTTGGACTCCTGGGTTCTCTACGGATCTGCGAGGGGAGTGTAGGCTAGTAATTAGAATAGGGAGCCCGGACTCCTGGGTCCCATTCTCGGCCGGTTACATCAGTGCCCCCAGAGTGTGGGGAGGAGCCACAGCCTAGGATGACTTTGGGGGCTGGGGAGCCAAGCGGCCGGTGAGTTAAGGCAGAGCCGCGGCGGGGAAGCTGATGGGCCCCTTTTTCATCTCCCTCAACAGTCGTTCAAGGACGACGTGGACCTGAAGCAGGATATGCGGTGCGACACCATCGACACGCGGGAGGAGTACGAACTCAAGGTCTGGCACCGCCCCCCCCCAGGGACGCCTGTCCGCTGAGTGTGCAACGGAGCGTGTGTGCCTGGGCAGGGGAAGGCGGTGTGCAGGGGAGTGATGGTGCCAAGGTGCCTGAGCGCACCAGCGAGTGTGCTTGCATGCAAAGGGTTGTGTGATGGTGTGTGCACGTCAGCGACTCTGTGTGCGGAAGGGATTACACGTGTGTCTCTGCTGGGGGTGGGAGCCAGGACTCCTGGGTTCTTTGCCCAACTCTGGGTGGGAGTG